CTTTATTATTATATTTTAGATAATATTTTTTGATTAAAGATTTTTGGAGTGATTAATTATTTATTTCTTTTACAAAGAGATAATTTATGGATATAATTACTATTTTCAAATTAAAAATATAAAATTATGTCTTTTTTTAATTCATTCATTATAGTAGATAAGTAACAAACTATTTAAATAATAATATGATTTAATTATTATTTAAGAGTTAAAAGTAATTAAATATATACACAAATATTATACTAAATTTAAATAAATAATAATTCTTTTATTCCGCACAAGGTGCAAGTTATTATCCGGTTTGATTTTATAATAGAATTGAAATCAATAACAAGTTAACAACAACAAAACCACATGTTTTAACATGATGTTCTTTTATTTAAGCTTGTACATATTTGTATGATTTTTATAGTTTGCGTTTTTCACTCGATATAACTTTTTTTAATTTATGTCAAAAAGTGAGATAAAAAACTATGATGTTTGATTTTGTCAAAAAAATCCTTGAGTTGAGAATATATATTTTGATGGGACTCTGTTGGTTTGGTTAAAAATAATGAGAGTACATCTTTTTTTTAGTTTATGATGTGACGAGAGTAATCTTAGTTGATAATCTTGAAGTGGGTTTTATTGTTAACAGAAATTTATTAAAAAAATATAAGATATTGAGGTGTTATTCAATCATGGATTTTAACAGAATTCATATTGATTCACAATTTAATATTATTAGGTATTTACCCGCGCTATGCTGCAGGATATTTTTCTAGATTTTGTATATATTGTATTACGATAAAATTATTTTTATAATGTAAATGAGTATTATATTTATTTTTTATTAGCTTAAGTTATGTATTTATATGTTTTAAATCTGAATAAAAATTATATATCTTTATTTTTTTTTATTTTTCAAAATTATAATCTACTATCAAATTTGTTTAGCTAACTATCAATAAATATATACGTAAGAATAAAACAATACATTTTTAAGTATTTTCATACTAATGGCAAATGGACAATATTTTCTCTACTAAATTGTCACTTGATTTTCTTTTGAAATTATATAAAGCAAATTGCCATTTATAAAAACTATTAATTAATATGATTATTTTGAATTATAAAATTTATTTATTTAACAAATATGTATTATAAACATATGTTTCCAAAACTACCAAACTATAGTCAATAACATTCATATCAAAGCCATTGTTATTGCTTTAGAACTAAATAGAAAGTTCTAATTGAACTGTTGAAATATCAATTAATTTAATTGAAGTTAAATAATTCAATTTTGGTTACTGTAAATATATTGTAACTTGAAAATTTAGCACATAAAATTTTTATATTTTTACAAAAACCGAGAAATTGAATTTTCCAACAAAGCAAAAAAATTTCATTTTCCTACGAAACTGAGAAATCGTTTTTTTCCACCAAAACAAAGAAATTGCATTTCCACACAAAAAAACACATTTTCCCACGAGAACCTGTGTTTTCTCGCCAAAACAGAAAAATCAAGTTTTTTCACCAAAACCAAAAAATTTCATCTTCGTGCAAAAACCAAAAATTCATATTTTCCCGTCAAAACCAAAAAAAAAACTATTTTTCCACAAAAACCGCAAAATCGTCTATTCCCGTCAAAACAAAAAAAAATATTATTTTTTTCGTCAAACCAAAAATCACGCATTCCTACCAAAACCGATAAACTACATTATATGTCAAAAACTAAAAATTTATCTTTCCCATCAAAACCGAGAAATTGCTTATTCATGCCAAAATCGAGAAATTTTGTTTTCCCATCAAATCGAGAAATTGCATTTTCTGCTAAAATTTAGATTTGGAGATGGTAAAAAAGAAAACAATTTTTTTTGCTGTTATTTATTATTTGTGCTTGAGTTTGTCAAAAAATAAAATAAAGATTAACAAAGAAAAATATTTTGGCTTTTAATAGGTTTAAGTTAAAAACAATAAAAATTAGTAGATGATGTGTATTAATAAAATGTTTTGATTGGTTGTTAATTTTGCTGATGTGTCAGTTTTTGGTAACTTGAAAAAGCTGAGTTGTCAAGCTATGGAGAGACTTTAGTGTTATTGTTGTTGAATAAAAATTATATATCTTTATTTTTTTTTATTTTTCAAAATTATAATCTACTATCAAATTTGTTTAGCTAACTATCAATAAATATATACGTAAGAATAAAACAATACATTTTTAAGTACTTTCATATTAATGGCAAATGGACAATATTTTCTCTACTAAATTGCCACTTGATTTTCTTTTGAAATCATATAAAGCAAATTGCCATTTATAAAAACTATTAATTAATATGATTATTTTGAATTATAAAATTTATTTATTTAACAAATATGTATTATAAACATATGTTTCCAAAACTACCAAACTATAGTCAATAACATTCATATCAAAGCCATTGTTATTGCTTTAGAACTAAATAGAAAGTTCTAATTGAACTGTTAAAATATCAATTAATTTAATTGAAGTTAAATAATTCAATTTTGGTTATTGTAAATATATTGTAACTTGAAAATTTAGCACATAAAATTTTTATATTTTTACAAAAACCGAGAAATTGAATTTTCCAACAAAGCAAAAAAATTTCATTTTCCTACGAAACTGAGAAATCGCTTTTTTCCACCAAAACAAAGAAATTGCATTTCCACACAAAAAAACACATTTTCCCACGAGAACCTGTGTTTTCTCGCCAAAACAGAGAAATCAAGTTTTTTCACCAAAATCAAAAAATTTCATCTTCGTGCAAAAACCAAAAATTCATATTTTTCCGTCAAAACCAAAAAAAAACTATTTTTCCACAAAAACCGCAAAATCGTCTATTCCCGTCAAAACAAAAAAAAATATTATTTTTTTCGTCAAACCAAAAATCACGTATTCCTACCAAAACCGATAAACTACATTATATGTCAAAAACTGAAAATTTATCTTTCCCATCAAAACCGAGAAATTGCTTATTCATGCCAAAATCGAGAAATTTTGTTTTCCCATCAAATCGAGAAATTGCATTTTCCGCTAAAATTTGGATTTGGGGATGGTAAAAAAGAAAACAATTTTTTTTTGCTGTTATTTATTATTTGTGCTTGAGTTTGTCAAAAAATAAAATAAAGATTAACAAAGAAAAATATTTTGGCTTTTAATAGGTTTAAGTTAAAAACAATAAAAATTAGTAGATGATGTGTATTAATAAAATGTTTTGATTGGTTGTTAATTTTGCTGATGTGTTAGTTTTTGGTAACTTGAAAAAGCTGAGTTGTCAAGCTATGGAGAGACTTTAGTGTTATTGTTGTGTTGATTCAACTAATAATTTTAAATTATGTCTTAAAATTCAGTGTTATTGGATATTTTATTTGTAAATCATATTTAAAAGATTTTAAAATTTGGTATTATTCAATTAAGATTTTAAATATTGCACTAAATTCCAGTGTTATTGAAAACTAAATAACTTTTATAATCTTTGTATATTAAGTAATTTGAAATGAATGGAAATAGAATTTCATGAGTAAATCATTAGAAACAAAATCCAAAACAAATTGCAGAGATTTTAGACACATGAATTTTGAAAAACAATATTAAAACTCCAAATCTTGAAGATTATAAAACTTATAGAACTGACTTTAAATCAGTAATTGAATAACACCCCCTAAATGTCAGATTTCAATTGCTAATTTACACATGAAATCATAATCAAATTCATTCAAACTCTTACAAGTTAAAGGAATTATAAAAATCTATTAAATTAACTATATAGTCCAATTAACCACCAAAATGTCACTTAAAACATTGAACAGAGGATTGCAGATTTGGAGAATCATACCCTAACATGTGAGCAAGAGACCAATTCAAACAGTTTCGTTGATTATTTTCAACATACATGTTGCTTCAGAAATTCATTGTGTTGTAAGGTAGAATGACAATACTGTAGTTACTCATTTTGAAATTGTGATTGTCATCAATACACGAACTGGAATAATCTAAACAAAGAATATGGACATTTCAAATGAATCTAAGAAATCTATTAATGGAGATATGTTATATAGAAAAACCAATAACATTAGATTTTAGCAAAAGAATTAAAACAGTGATTCAATAACAATGAATTGTAAAACCTATAGAATTAATTTCAAATCCATAATTGAATAACACCCCCTTTATGTCCTTTTCATTTTTTTTCTTTTTTTCTATCTTCTTATTTATTTAGTTTTTCTTTCTCAACTCAATCTCCTTTTTTATAAACCAATGTTCAATTAAATAATCAATTTAAATAAGTGTATTATATTGAATTGATGAAATGGTGTTTTAAAGAATTAGTAGAATTTTCAATCCTAATAGACTAAGCATGCACAACATCAATGACAGATCGACGGAGTTTGAGATGTAAAACTGATAATTGAAAAAGAACAAATACAAAAAGAAGAAAAAAAAGCAAAAAAAACATGTAAAACATTGTTAAAGAACTTTAGAATGAAGAGAACAAAAATAAATTTTCTTTGAAAGTCACTTTATAAATTAAAAGTTTGTTAATTCACACAAAATTAAATTACTATTAATGTGTATATTTTAATTGAATTTTTGGTTTTTAATTATTAGAGGTAAATTATGATTAACATTAATTTAAAATATAATTCCTCAAGATTCAGATCCAAAGATACTTTTATAAGGCCATAGTAAAATTTTCCTTTTATTTCAATTTTCCCAATATATGTTAATTGATAGCTGACAAAAAAAACATTACAGTAATTAATAAATATATTAACATATAAGTCCCTTGGAATTATTGAACCAAGAACAAAAAAGTCTTTTTGGAATTAATTAGAGTTCCCTGTATTACCAAGAAAAGAAGACAAGTAAATATTTTGGTTGTCTATAAAATAAGAAAAGATAAAGTTTGACTAGATCCATTTAATACAGAAATATTTTTGCTGTCTACAGCTTATAAAACACTTGCCAATCAACTCCCATATTTGTTAAGCAAAAACGTAAATCTACCCTCCATCTCTTCCTCTCTCTCTCTTGTTGATGAAAATGCAAGTGAGAGGCCCACTGATTTGGGTGTTGTTGGTGTTTTACATCTTTGGACATATATTTATAAGTCATAACAATGGCTTTGTCGAAGCCAAGAGCTCGTCTAAATTTGAAGATCTAGAAATCGAGAATGAACTAAAGACCATCAACAAACCCGCTGTCATGATCATCAAGGTTTATATGATATCTTCATAATCTATCTTGTCGTGGTTTTATATAAAAATATACTTTTATATATATTTTTAATATATATGGATGCAAATGATAGACTATACAAGGAGAACAATATGGATGTGTGGATTTCTTTAAGCAACCAGCATTTGATCACCCTTCTATGAAAAATCACACATACCATTACAAGGTACAACTTCAGATCCATTCTCTGTCTATATGCTTTTTGAAACATCAAAAAAAAGAACAGTAATGTATTTTCGGGGGGGGGGGGGGGGGGGGGGTTTCAACATCTCTCTTAGATGCGTCCCATATGGAATGGAATGAGAGAAAGAAAGAAAAACAATACTGCCAACGGGTTTGGTTACTTGTGGGAGAATGGTGTGGGTTGTCCCATTGGCACGGTCCCTATAAAAAGAGTCACCAAAGACGAACTCTTGAGATTACACTCGTTAGACGATAATTATAAGCCTCGTGGTTCTTGGAGCACTACCACTTGTGATCCCACTTATGATGTTCATTACGACCAACATCATGTAAGTTGCTTTTTTTTAATAAAAATAACGTATTATCGATTGGAATTATGATATATTCATAAACGATAATTAGTATGTTTGGTTATTGAATGAAAATGAATTGTATTAGTATGCGGTGGGTCGTACGAGGAAGAAAGGAATGGTGTACAATGGAGCAACAATGGAACTTTGCATAACCGCTCCTAAGGTTAAGCCTACCCAATTCAGTCATTCTCGGCTATACATTCAGATGGGAGATGATTTTATCCAAACGGGTGTGGCTGTAAGTCATTTATTTCCACGCACTATTCACACATCATCATAACTAAATCTATTTTTTTTTGGTATGTTTTAATTTACTAACTAACATGACCGTAATATGTATTAAATCTATTATTTTCATTTCGAGATGGATCCAAAAAAAAATTCAATTTATTTTATTACAGATTTTAAAATATTTTATTAATAATCCCATATATACAGATTCTGACTAATTATATATAAAATATAAACTAATATGCTACAAATTCCAGTTCCTTAACTATTTAACAACTGACAAGATCTGTATTATGTTCGTTAATAGATAACTGAATACAAACAAAATATATTTGTACAATTCAGGTAAATCCAGTATTGTACAATGACAACCAACCTCGGGTTTTCGTCTATACAAAGGTAAGAATCAGTCACATCGATCATGCTAGTAAATTCGCTTTTCAAAAGTTAATATAATATACCTATTATGTATGTAAAGTGATTAATATACATACGTATATCTTCGTTGAGACAGGCAGGTGCAAAATCATGTTACAATAGCCAATGCGACGTAGGAATGATAAGTGTTCGTCAAGATTTTCCAATGGGTACAGAACTGAAGCCGGTTTCTATTCGCGGTGCTAAGCAAAGTCGCTATGAAACCTTCGGTCTAATCAAGGTTTTCTTCATAATTCTTCTCATTTTATTTTATTCCATTTCATTCTAATCAAGCTATGCTGTACAAATTGTTAGTAGTCATTATGCGCTGAACACTTCTTCTAAAGAAGTATAGTTTTTGTATTCATTAACTTGTAAAACTGTAAGTAGTCAATATGATTCATAATTCAGTATGCATAATTACTCTCTGTTTCTTAGTATAATGTTAAATTCTACTGATCATTTCTGGTACCAGGACCAAGCAAATGGGAATTGGTGGTTGGAGTTTGGTAGCAAGGCAGAAGAAATCGGATTTTGGCCATCGAATAGGTTTGGTCAAAGCTCTGGAAACTATGTCGAATGGGGAGGAGAAGTGTACAGCGCTTCACTACCAAGTCCCGAAATGGGATATGGATATTTTCTAGAATATGATATAATCTACGATGCATATGTCAAACATATATTTATACTTGACGCTAATCATAAATTTGATCGTAGTGTGGATTATGTCGAGTCGTTTTCAGATGACAAGCGAGGCTATCAAGCGTATAACACGATATATTCTGGATATCCTGATGCCGGCCATATAATCCTTTATGGCGGTCCAGGAAATATCTAAACAAATGATTATATCTTTGTATGGAAATTAAAAAAATCTTAAAACAGTACATTGACTAAATTTATAATAAATAAAGCATTTTGGGTTTCTTAATTTAAAACAAGGTTTAAATATATCAGTAAACTCTCTATAAATTAATAATGTTGTGGATCATGCTATTTTATATAAAAAAAATAATTTATAGAGATTATTAATTTATAGCTTATTATTTATTTGATAAATTAATTTTAGAATTGATAAAAAAATATTTATTAATCGAAATAAAAATTTGTCGAATATTAATTTATCGAAGTTCTATTGTATTATATAGGTAGGTAGCATAATCGTTGCAATTATTTCTTTAAAATTGTACAGTGGCAAGATCGTAACTAAATGGATGCTCTTTGTGCACTTTTAAAAACTAGATAATAATATATTTTATTATATAAAATTGGATGCATCAAAATTAGTAATTCATATGATCATATTTTACAGCGTGTTGTTATATAATATTCTAAATATTCTTCTTCTTTTTTAAAGTTTTAATTACTCTTCTAATTTTAGTTTTTTTTTCTAATATTCTTTACAGCAGAAATATCATCAAAACAATGAGTTTAAGTGTTCAAATTAACCAAAGCAATAATTTGACATTGGATCAATTAAACAAGGAATGTCCATATCGTCATAGGCTACATCTAATTATAAAGTGGGAAGCAAGAAATTTAAAGTAAAAATAACGTGCTCATAGGATTGAATTTATTCCTACTTAAAAAGGTAAAGATAATTTTTCTTTAAACCATAATATTTTACTATTTATTATTAATTTTTTTTAATCTCACTTAAATTTTAATTGCTTTCAATTCATGAAAAAACTTTTTAAGGCTTTGTGCATCACTCTTTTATTAAAAATTTTGGAGAACTATGTGAAGGAAAGACTTATTAAAATTTGTAATTTTAATGTGTAAAATTGCAATAAATATAACAAAGTCACTAAATATAACTTTCCCATAAAGTTAACTGAGAGTACAAATGTTAACTTCATAAAGCAGGAGTTTTGTCAAATACCCTTTTAAAATTTTCAGTTTCAAAATTATAAAGATTTTGATAATCTAAATGATAAGACTGAAGATTTATATAATATATTTGTTTGTGAACAAATTTTGGGATTCCACGTGGGATGTGTGATTTGTCTGGGGGATGGAGCTGCGACTCCGAGTTTCGTCATCTAGGGAGAAATGTAGTGAGTCATTCTAGTGCAGAAGCCTTCGGTGTCGGGGTGACGGGTCGGTCGTCACGTCTAATCCTACAAATACTCAAAGAAAGGTCAGACGAGCCTCCAGGAGGACCGAAAGGGGATTTCACTCTCGAAGGTTCTCCGACGCCCAAGTCAATGACCGTCCTACCGGGAACAAGTATCCAGGAGGGGTGTTTCTACGGGTTAGAGTGAGAAGTCTCGTCCAAGGATTGAGGCTTCTATCCGTTTTTGGGTTTTTGAAAGGGTTTCTACACGATAAAACAAGGCGGAGCGAGTATGAAGACCAGGTTCCGAGTTAAGAAGGACTTATCCTGAAAAGCATTCATCCGGGAAGAACATGGAATTCTCCCGTGATCGTGCTGCTTGCCTGAGTCGACTGATTCAGATACCGGTGGTTACCTCCTCCTATCGAAGGGTTTTTTCCGCTCCGATCAGTCTCTCCTCCATTCTGCATGGCGATCTCTTCTTATTTATACTTGCGGCCTCCTTGTCATATCTTCTCCATCCGGTGCACCAGGAGAGCAGGTGAGAGTAATGATTCTGGCATGTTTGGAAAAGTTTGCCAACTGCCCCGGAACAGTACGCGGGTGTGAGTCGGTCGAACTAGCATGGCGTGCGTCAGTGTTTGATGCAGTCTAAACCCATGTGTCAGTCTCCCTCTGGACCTGGTAAAATAGGTCCCAACAATATTCATTATTTTATTTTTTAATTAATATATTTGTGTGTATATAATAAGATATATGTTTAATATTTATTTTTATTTTAACTATAACACATATCGAAATATTATCGATTGATTTGATACATGTTGCGATCATGCTAATAAAATTTTATATATATATATATATAATATATAACGATATATATCAATAAGAAAAAGAAAACGAATAAAGAATATATTTAAATTAAAAAAGAATAAAATAATTAAGATTAACTTCAAACTAACAAAAGTAAAAATGATATATTTTATTTTAAAAAAGAATAATATATAAAAATAAATAAGATTAAATTCTATTTATAAAAATAAAAGATAAACCACAGAAAAATATAAGATAAAACATTAATCTTAAGAAAAAAATCGAATAAAAATAAAATAAAATAAAATAAAAAATTTTAATAATTAAAATTAAAATCAAAATAAATAAGAATAACTTCAACTATTTTTTTAAGATTTATTTTCAGAAAATGATAGTGTGTCAGAGAATCAAAATCATAAATTAGTGAACAACAATCATTAATTGAGAAATTATAATCATTGTCTTAGGCATGTTTTCTGAGTTAGTTGGGGAGACGGTACGTAAGGATGGTTTGGTTGGGAACTGTTGAACCAGAAAATTACCACTAGGATTTTAATTAATGGTTGTGGGTTTTGGAGAATAAGATCTTTTATTAATAGCTCAAAGATGAAGCGATTACAAAGATTGGTATAACCGAGAGGTTATGCCGAAGTGAAAGAGATGTGTTTATGTGATAAACTAGAAAGCTATGAGTTCTTAGGTATTGCTCTGCTGCTCTCTAGATTGTATCAGTTGGTCTTCTTGTGCTCCAGGGTCTTCTTATTTATAGGACTAGGAGGTCGGTCGCTGCAAGCTCTTTTTCCTTTTTTCCTTTGGTGAATATTTCTATTTTTGTGATACGGAAATATCCCTTATTCTTCGAAGAATATAGAAATTATCCTTTATCCTTGAATATTTCTTTGAGCTGATCTGATGCTTCGGGAGTTTGAAGATTATCAGCGAGGTTTTCCTTTTTAGAGCTACGTCGGTGATGTCTTCTTATTCTTGATGGGCTTAGGTTATTGCTAGAGAAAGCCTTTTAGGAAATGTGTTCATCTCCCATCTAACAATAAGTCCCCTTCCGAGTTCGGCGAAACTGATTGTAAATCAGGTCGGCGGACTTCGTGAAGTAAATGGGTTTGATCTTGCAATAAGCATTAGCTCGTCAAGAACGTTTCTACGCGATTTAAGTAGATTTGACACGTGGTTCTTTCTTTTTCAAATAAAATTATTTAAGCGCGCAGCCCATATTATGGTTTTGCTTCAAGCGGGAAATGCGAAGGGTTTATTAGGCGGTGAGATTATGCGAATCTCGACACGCGTCCTTTAAAGAAACTGTTGATATTTCTTTTGATTATATTACCAAAAGCTTATCTCTTCGTCTTCTTGCTCCAAGGATTTTCATTTTCTTCAGTCTGCTTTCCAAAGATCTTTTGCGGTAATCTCTTTTGCTTGCCGATCTTCCTTTATTCCTTCTGATTTCTCCAGAAATTTCTGTTTTCTTTTTTTTTTGGAAATGTCGACGGGATCGCATGGTTCAGTCTTTGATGACGATGACATTTCTCTCGCCGAGCATGCTAGGTGAGCCTGGATGAGTCCAGTTCCTTGTTCTCCCTCGAATTCTGAGGGGTCTTCAGGTTATCTAGACGTAATTTTGCCAGATAATTCCGATATAGACTTTGAGATGGAATCAGAGGGTTCCGAGCCAGCGAGCCGGATTGAGGGTCTTCCTCAGAAGATAGTGATGCCAAAGAGCGATTTGGCTAAAGAAGACAAGATAAAAGACGGGCGGACCTGGATGACGGCTGATAGGCTTCAGGAGCTTAGGCGAAGATGTAATTTTCCCGCTGGATTCGAAGTGCTCCTGCTGCTGGTGCACGAGAGAGTGACATCGCCCCCGAAAGGCTACTTTTGCTCGTACGAGTGTCACTATGCTGAGTTTGGTTTGAGTTTCGCACTGCTGCCGCTTCTTCTTCGCTACTGTGAAAGGAGGAAGGTGCCCCTTGGCGAGCTCTCGCATGCCTTGATTAGGCATCTGGTTTCCATGGCGGCAGTAGCTCGAGTGGCGGAGGTCCCATTTAATTGAGATATTTTTGAAAGAATCTCGATTCTGAAACCCGGGAAATGGAGCAGGTCAGGACCATGGCGTCATTTCTACACTACCATGAGGTTCGAAATCGTTGGTGGAGATCCGACGAGCAAAATGCATGAATGGGATAGATACTTCTTCTATGTGAAGATCAATGAAGCTTCCATCAACTGCTCTAAACTCGAATTATTTAGAGTTTGGAAATCAAGACCCGGCCCAGTTTTTTCTTACAAGTATCCTGTTGGTTTTTTTTTTTTAGGATGCTGATTTTGCTTCTTTTTTTTTCTTTGCAGAGTCGATTAGCCTTGGAAAGGATATGTTTGGTCTCGACGTCGACCTCCAGAAGCTGTGCAATTTGAGCCAGAAATTGTGGCCTAAGAAGGAGAAAAAGGGGCCTTCGGAAAAGAAGACAAAGTCGGCCAAGTCGGCCGAGAAGAAAGCTAAGTCTTCAAAAGCAGGTGTGTTGTTGGACCGAAGTAGTTGTGTGCGTGCTTTTCTAAGCGCGGTGTCTTATTGTTATATATTCTGATATTTCAGCCGCCAAGAAGACGTCGTGGCCGAGATCTGAAGGGATGGGTCTTAAGAGGAAAAGAGCGATTCCGATGGTGGAAATTGACATCCCCGCTAGTATCCCCTCAAAGCGGAGGAGAGCGACTCCTCCATCTGATCCTATCCGGGTGGATTCCGAGGAAGCCGTGCTGGCTTTGGAGGACGAGGGTCCTGCGAGCGAAGTTGCCAGGTATCAGTTTTTTCTTTGGATTGTGCTGTTGTTCCTTGGTGAGCCGATGTGACTCTTTATGTTTTTATTGCTTGTTCTTAGCTTCTCCAGGGCCGCAGCGCGGGAAAGGCTAAGACGAGCTGAAGCTGAGAAGGAAACTGGGAACCCACAGGAAGAATTGGTTCAGGAAACTGTTTCCAAGGGTGCTGAAAGCTCCCATGCTGCATG